TTACTTACATATGCTTTTTGAACCCATCACCCAAGCATGGCTTGCAACACTTAGAAGTATGCTTCAGAGGCTCCATAAAATATATATATATTCTTCATTTAAACCGACTAAGCATATCCGTCTCGTCGCTCCTCCAGTATATCTGTTTTTCTATGTAGTCTATGTTCCAAACATTCTCCCAGTCGCAAACATGAAGATATCAGCTTCAAATTCAACAAAACTGTTGGAAGCTTCAATCCAAATCATCGAAGAACTTATGCATAGTGCAACATAAACTCAGATCACCACAGTTTTCGAAAGAAAAAAAAAGAATGGGATTTTCTCTTGCCACATCTCGCTATATTTTAGGGAATGGAAAAAATCGGCCCGGTCCAGCCAATATTATAGAGTACGTTAAAGAAGGTTTAGTCTCGTTTAAGATAAAAGCTGTGGACATAAAAAATTCCGAACCAGTCAAAGTCAATTTTCTTACCAAGTTATCTATATGTTGTGTATTTACCAGGTTATTTAGTCCATTCAAGCGACCCCCTACAATTTATCTTTTTCTATCATTTTTGCATAAATATTGCAGGTAAACTTAGCAAAAAGACGAAAGATGCAACGCCGTGATGTTAACCCTTAACTGATAAGTTTATCTAACTTCACCTATATATGAGAATTACTTTCCTTGCAGCAGATCTCTACGTACTTTAATCTTTTAAGAATTCGCATATTTATACGAATTTTCCTTGGCTAGTGCTAATGTTAATGTACAATTATAAAAGAAAATCACAGAGTGATTTCCAAAGGGATTGGTGTTGATTAAAATATTAAACCTTTCTTGGTTAATTCAGAATATTTTATTTCATTTTAAGCTCGAAAGGATAGACAGCGTGATTTGCGCAATAAATTATTTTCAAAATGTCTCGAAAGAAACGATTTGAAAGCAGCTAGCTAACGGTTCGATGGTCATAACTGTGATATTATCACTAGCCAAGAGTAACGAGCATCATGCTATGCGCCGAGTGGAATTATGCTAACAACGTTCGTCTTGGGCTCTCACATTATATTAACATAGACTGGAGTAATCTAACTTTGTCTTGAGCCATTTAACTGACAAATTCCCATTTCTTTCGTTTGTTGTCTGTTCAATCTGTGTGTATAGTCTCAACTTTCGATATCAATTTCTACGACTTTCATAGACATGGGGACATAGACAAATCCATTTAGAAAAATACATATATAATTATTTGTTTTAATCGTTGCCAGTCATAAAAAAAAGAGTTCTAGAATGAGAGTTTCTTCTATTTAAAAATTAAAAGGAAGGTTTACTACTTTATTTAATCGACATTTCCATAAACAGAAGCTCTGATAATTTACATTTGGATATCCTTCTAGATATACATATAATTTGGATAATTTGTTAAAGAAAACTTGTTTTGATTCCCCCGTCAATGATCAGAACGATAAATAGGAAACTACACACAGTTTTAATTAGGATAGAATACTGTATGAACAATGACCGGATAATGAATAATGAAATGAAATGATTGCTGCCGTTCCAAAAACTGAATAGCCTTACTAGGGTAAGGTAGCATTGCTTGATAGAAAGAAGCTGGCGAGCTATGCTCCAGGAAAGACCTGCGCTACCTGAAAAGATTCCTGGTCCAATCTAGTCTCAGGAGAAATGAGCTCTTCTAGTCAAGAAAGAACTTATGCGATCTAGGTTGGCTAGGGAAAGGTTTTGCTTAGCTTAGCAACATTCCCACATAAATTGTGCCTCTATCCTCTAAACTCACAAGACCACGTCGAGTACACTGTTTTGACTAAATAAAAGTGAAATCGAGGAAGGCTTTGAAGGCCATTCAGAATCCGACTATCACAATGGTTTCGAGGATTAGATAAAACCTTGGCGTAAGTTGTATTGTATTTGCGGGAATTACTTGGAAGGCGACGGAATAGTTATGAAATAATAAATAGATTTAAACAAGAAACATTTAAACGTCAAGGACTTCTAAAATTAAAATAGATCTGACAGACCTAGACTGAGTTCTTTTTGGAGATATCTAAAAAACAAGCAAACAACAAATCTTACGCAAAATAAGTATGTAACTCAAAATTCCTTTTTTATATACCTAAGCTCTTTACAGTGATTGTAGCTAACTAGCAAAGAAAAGCACCACTTAGCTGACACTGCTTTTCTTATACAATGGTTTGTTCTAAAAAAAATATACTGACCCGGTTTGCATTATATCTAACATTGGCGTTTTAAAAAAAAGGTGACCTTTCAAATTTCGTGAACTACGTAAATTCGATTCTCGTAATTTTTTTTTTTCGTTACGTTAGTGCGCATGTGCTCAAGATATGTTGGCATGTGGCGAGTTTACTTTGAGGAAAAAAAATGCTTACAAATGGTAGGAGCTCTTCAACCGATAAAAACGTTGAAACGGTGAGGAAAATAATTGTGAAGCTCTTGCCAGAAGGTCGTAGGAATATTACTTTAAAGTTATGCGACGTTTGCGTGAAACATAATAAAAAAACGCCCGAAATTCTGGAACAACAAATTATGGATATTGCATCACGACAATACGCCAATTCACACGTCATTTCTTGTTCGGAATTTTTGGGCCAAAAACAACTTCATGTAATCATGTCTCAGCCAACTTGGCCCCTTGCGCTTTTTCCTCTTATCTAAACTGAAAAGACCCATAAAGCGAATGCAGTGTTGCCCTGCATCTCTGGAAAAGCTCAAGACCATACCAAAAAACGCATATCTGAAGTGCTTCGACCATTGGCTGGCACAAGTATACTTAAGTATATCCAAGGAGGGATTACTTTCAAGGGGACAAAATCGATATTCATGAATAAATATTTTTCGAAATTAATAAAAAATGTCACCTTTCTTTTGAACACACATCGTATGCACATATGTGCAAAATAATATACAAAAATGAAATAGCAAACCATCCCTAATACTTTGTTATGTAAAGTATAGCCTTTTATGGAAAACTAAAATTATCATTAAGCGAAATATTTTAATTTTTCTTTTAAAGAAAATAAAATGAAAGTAAAAAGTTCATAAGTAAATATTTATTTAACACATCCGCAAATGAGTGAGTGCATGCGGTTCACACAATCATAAAATTTTTGTTTTTAAGTTTTAAATTCCTTTATTAATTTATTTAGAAAATTAAATGTGTTTATAATGTAAAAATGGAGTCACATCTTAGAGATAGGGGAGGAGAAATAGAGGAAGTGGACATAAGGAGAGAGAGAGAGAGAGAGAGCGAAAGCGATAAAGACGGTAGTTGTTAAAATTGATCAAAAATTATGAAAATGTTTAATAAAAATATTTAAATATGATAGATAATATTTCTAAAACATAAATTAAAAAACTTTTTTGAATGTGAAGTAAAGAAGTTATTAATTAAGCAATTATTTTTTGAAGCAACAAATTGCTTTTATTAATCGCATTTTTGTTTTAGTTTTTTTTTTTGTTTTGTTAATGGGTTGAGCTCGAATTTTTTATAGTAAATGCTTTTGTTTTTCTGAAGCATTTTTTTTTGTTTTTTTTTTTTTGTTTTTAATGCATTAATATAATTACAACAACTCGGGATTGTATGTAAATTTTAAAGGGTCTTTAAATTCTATTCTATAGAAAATGTTTTATCATATAATATATATTTATCAGTTTTTGTTGTTGTTGTTGTTATTTACTGATTTATTTTTGTAATTTTTTTTTTTTTTATTTTTTATACAAACTTATCCATGTTTTACTGATTTACGTTCATTTTGACTTCGTTTTCTATACCAGAAAATATTGCAACAAAAACGATTTACAAAACTTTCAAAACAAAAGTTTAGTAGTTATCTAGATTTTAACATATATTTAAAAGAAAAAAAAAATGAAAAAAAAAAACAAAGAAAGTGTAATTTTCTTTACATTCTATATATCAGCAATAGTTATAAACTTATCTACAAATTGGCGTTTTTTTGGTCATAATATCAGGGGAGCTGTGAAGAAATAATGATGATTTCATTCTATTGTAAGTCATTTGGCGATAATGGTGATGGTTGGTTGTAATAAAATATGAAATTAATTTACAATTCTATATATATATATATATATATATGTATATTTATATATATGTATAGCAAAATAATGTACTGAATTTTTTTTTTTTTCCTGCAGCCTATAAATGTTCAATTTTTTTTTTTTACAACTTTACTTTTTTTTTTGTATGCTTTTATGTATTATTAATATGTATTAACACTTATAATTAAGTTCTATAAGCATTTGACTAATTGGTTGGTTAGTTTTGTTTGTATCCTTCGCCATTATGAATGATTGGTTACACCATGTGTTTTATTGAGTAAAAAAAGAAAAAAAAGACTCTCGTCTCGTCTGCTAATACTTCAGCTTATCGTATCCGGGGTATAGTTCTGAAATGAAAGAGTGATATTTAGCAATTTACGAAGATATAGATACAGAAATTATAATCGTCTTACAAGCGTAATTTTACATACATATCATCTCAAGCAAACCGTACAATAATCAAAAACATTTTCAATTGCTCTGAAAACTAAGCGAAAGAAATTTAACATATTCACATTTGCTCAATCTTTCCAAATATTGACACAATTCAAAGTGTTCCTTTATGAAATTGGTATCGAAATAGTTTTCTCTTCTTTGATTTTTACTCAATTGTAACATAATTATACAAACCGACCCTTCCCTTTTTATATCCTACAACATTTGTGGTGCAAGTGTATATTCAGCTTATGAGCGAGACGTACCTTTTATTACACCGATCAATGCAGAAAGAGATTCTGGTCGTTTGAACATCTTCTATTCTTGTCTCCAAGCTACGGGTGATTTTTTTGGACACGTTTTATGAAATTGGCTACACCCGCGTGGGCGCAAAAAGCGAGTACTGGAAATAGTTGCTTCAGAATCATTTTCTAGATTGATCTAAGGTTGTGTCCGTGTGTCTGTCCGCTTTTTATTCTTGTTTTCAATCTGCAGATGGTAGTTTTTAAAATTTTTAAGTTGGATGCACTGTTGCGTTTGAACCTAAGAGCGAATGCTATTGAACATGACTAGAATCGGAAAACTTTTACGATCACTCCCCATGAAACGCCTCTTTATAAAAAATCGTTACATCAATACAACTGTATTAAGTAAAGTGTTGCAGGATGTTTATTAGCGTGCGTGTGTGTGTGATCCACTACAATTCTTTCCCTTTTTTCTATTTACAGCTCCTTATAAATTGTTCCCTTGTCAGCGAAAATCATCTATCATCTGATCTGTAACTACATTTCGGTTAGCCTTTTCCGCTTATAGCTTTCTCCTATCTTATCTTACCCCTAGCTTATAATCCATTGCAATATCAATCAAAGATTATTATGAGATACTTATTGCGATTATCGCAATCGATTTGTTCATCAATCAATTTCAATAACGTCCATTACTTGCCGTCTGTACTATAAAAGCCCGAAGAAGATTATCTTCTCTTTGCTTAATAAATAAAACTTCATTCAATTTAGTTAATCTTATTCCGGGAATAAGATTATTTCATTCTTCATAGCCAATTTGATCTCAACCATGGTATAAATAACATAACAAAATAGTTTCTATTTTAAATACCTTGGCGATTGTACTCTTCTTTTGGGTGTATTTGGAGCTGTTACCGCAACTCTGCTATTAGGCGTTCTTGCTCTGACACCGGGTATACCCGCCGGAGTGGTGGTGGGTGTCGAGGGAGATGTTGCCGCTGATGTTAGATTCACACTGTAACGTTTCGGTGGCACAATACGACTAGGCGATCTAGTTGTTTTTGCTTTATTATCTGCTTGAATGGTTATTCTAGCATTTTGCGGAGAAATAGTAGATTTTTGTGGTTTAGGTTTAGGTAAAGCAGAATTTAATTTATTACACTCAGTTGTTGTTCTATATTGAACGTTTTTTCTTCTACAGTTTTGTAAGACATACGTGTGTGTAGTTTATTGTATACATTTTTGCATATGGATTATTTTGTATTATTATGTATTTATATACACATAGATAATATCATGCAAAAAATAATCGGAAATTGTTTTTGTTTTTTTATGTATAAATTTTATGCAATCAACCAATCAAAGGCAAGAAGGATGATAGGATGGTAGTTGGATGGTGGATAAAGCGAGAGATAAAAAAGAATAAAAGAAATAAATGAATTATTTTTACAAATCATTTAATTTGAATTCATGTACATACACATTTACATATGTACATAAAAAAAAAAAAAAAAACAAACATAAGAAATAAGATCAAATATATTTAAAATTATATATACAAGAATGCTGGGGTGATGTATTGTAGTATTGAATATGTTAAACAAGTATAAAATATGTCCCATATTTATTTAATTGAATCTACCGGAGAAGGAGACTACTATAGTATAAAGAAATGATATTTCTGTACTTACTTGCCCGCTGGATAACTAACTGGACGAGGTATACGTGATTTGTAAGCCGCATTAGCTGTAATTGCTGAAGTAGGTGTCGAAGCACCACTCTTCGTCTGCTGAGCATTTGCCAACTCTTTTAACATACTCGACTCTTTGCTCATTAGTTCCCATTGGATTTGTAAACGTTTAAAGCGATTACTTTCCAGTTTACGTCTTTCTGCCTCATCGCGTTGCGAACAATTTCTAGTGTTCATATTTTGTAAACGTAAAGCAGCTGCCGCTCCGGATGCCATCGAGATATTGGGCGAATTCGGTGGTGTAGCGAAACGTTGTTTAGCATCCCCTTGCTGTAACTGATGTAGTGGTGCAATAGCTTCAGCATTCTCTTGTAATTCATTAAAATCATTAAATGAGACCTTTTTTTGTTGACTAAGAACGCGAGAGACTTCTTTTTTCAAAGCAACCGCATCATATTGAACTTGGTGTTCGGAAGACTCCAGTATAGCTGCAATTTCAGCATAATACTTCAATTCGTTTCGTGGTAAAGAAGAAAGAAAATTTTCAGCTCTTAATCGAGCGTCAAGATCTTTGCGTGACAGTCTTTCAACCTTGGGTTGTCCCCTGCTTGGGTAGATTTCTGTTCCTATCTCCTCTTCAAAAACCTCACTTAATTCCTCTGCTGAACCGACCTGTTGACGATATGGTGGTTCTTGTAGACTTCGTCTCTTCTCTATTTTATTTAATTTAGAGTTAGCCTGTTGACTTTGCTCGATCATAGAGTTACGTTTATTACGCACCGCCGAAGAGCTTTTGCGTAATATACCCCTGGGCATAGCTTGAGGCGTACTGTGAATTTTTGGACTTACTTCTGCACCCGAATCCATTCGTTGCTGTTCATATTGATAAACGTACATTGGTTTCAATGGATCTCCACCACCGCCACCAGATACATTCTCCGTCATATCGGAGTCGGTGAGCAAAGTCGATGAACCACGATAGCCGGAGCTGGGTTGTTGACTGGACCCTGAACTCGATGAACCAGCAGCTTCGGTTTGTTGATCCTTTTGAAAGTACTGGGCACAGTCACAGATATGCGGGCGATTACGCCTTACAGCCGGTGTTAAACAAAATAATGGTTTTTGTGGAAGTTCACTTTCCAATTGTTTTAGTACGCTATTAACCTCTGGAATGTGTTTTAAACGACGCCGATAATCTACGGGTAGCAATGTAACTAGTGAAGCCCAATCCACAACATGTTTGTAATCCATTGTCATAAGAATTTCACCTTCTTCGCTGCTACCCATTACATTGAAACGTTTTTTGAAAGAGGAATTTGGAGAACTTGATGAAGTTGCTCCAGCTAAAGTCATTTTATAATTGAAAGGCGAAAATATAACGTCGGGTGTTGCAGAATTTTTAACAAATCCTAAATCAGGAAGGGCATAATTTGGATAGATAACATAAATGGGAGCTTGTCGTTCTTCGCCTAAATTATTAAGCTTTTCCAAAAATGAAGGTGGCACGCAACGAAAGCGATCGCTAAGGCTGCTACGTGTACTCAAGGATCCGCAAGAAGTTTGCATGGATCGAGTAATCATTTCTGAACTGGAGGCATTCGAAATGGGCTGCAAAGCTTCACCTTCATGGCGTCCGTTATTTTTGAATTTACGTTCCTTGATATTTTGCTCAGTCAAAGAGGTTGATGCGATTGACGACATAAAGACTTGTGTCAGCTGTTCGGAAGTATTATCTGACGACTGCAGGCTAGTTCCAGAATTTGTATTGTGCTGATTTGCCAAATGACTAAGAGTGGGATTGCGTAACGGCATCAAATTTCTTCGGCGATGAGCAGGAGAATTTGTGGCCGTTAATGAACCACTAGAGCTCGAACTGGTATCTTTATCATGAAACACTCCTGGAGAACGAGTAGATTGCTTTGGTGTGGACGCGGAAACATCCAGAAGGAATGTGGACGAATTTTTGGTATCAGCCTCTTCTTCATGCCTACTTAAGGCCGAACCTTTACCCGAATCGTTCATACTTTTTTTACGTGAACGTTGCTCCAGCGATGAGCTACTGCTCGAACCATTCGCATCGCTAGATGGCCAACAACCTGACGACACATCCATGCATGTATGAGCGCTGGGTTGATCCTCCAAAGAGCAATTGCTGCTCTTCTGCTTAATAAACAATTTGACTAGATTAAAGGCTGGAGGATTTGATGAGCCCGACGAAGATGAGCCGGAAATGTGCGCTTGTTTCAATTGATGTGAGCCCAAAGCAGTTAAACCAGCCGGTTGATTATTTACACCACAACAACATCTATGCTTCGGATAACGTTGAGCAGAGGCCAATCCCATTTGAATTGCCTGATATTGACCGCTTTCGGCATTCAAACGCTCATCAATAGAGCCACTAACCGAACTACAAGATATCGGCATCTGACACATTGGCAATAGATTTCGCGATTTCGCGCATAAATTGGTCTCAACCGTTGAACTGCTAATCGCCTGTGAAACATTCAATTTCTGTGGCGTTTCACGACGACGCGCACTCAGATTCTCATTAAGAATAATCAAATCTTTACTCTCTCTTAAATTTGGTAAACTGCTGCATTTGCGAACACCGCCATGGCCTATTGGCAGAGGAGGTCGTATTATTGTAATCGTCTCAGCCGTATTATTATTACCTGATGGATATCTAGATGATGATAAAGAGAGCGGAAGGCATAATGAAAATTATAACAAAAGACGAAACACATGTATAATGAAATTTTCAAGGCTTTGGCTTTGCAAAATGTAAAAGAAAAAAAAACAAATACAGGCATTTTTTTAAATTTTATTAATCCTCTTCAAATCTCTTATGATTAATATCGATCAGTAGTCTACTGTCACGTTCTCTTTATACGTCATAGAAAAGAAAAAAAAAAAAAACGGAAGAAGCAAAAAAGCGAGAACAAACAATACAGATAGATACAATCAATTTAAATGAAAGACAATTGATATGACCCCTATCCGTAATAATAACTATGTCAGGCATGCATACTTATGACAGAGAATAACGTAAATTGTAATATTATTCTGCACGAAAACGCAAGTATTTAATTAAATTTTCCAATGATACGAAAGTGTATTATTAAAGGGGAAATTAAGGTTATTTATATGATTAAATCGAAAACAAAAAACTTAAAAACTAGTTAAGGTGTTTTCATGTCGTTATCTCGATATTATGACGTTAACAAAGCTTGAAATAAATTTGATTTATGGTAAAATAAGTATCGGTCCGACTTGCAAATGCAAAATGGTCGAATCAGATTTATTGAGATACTGCGACCGAGCACGACTGCCATTGAGAACGTGTTGTGTTGGGCGTACCTGATGTGCAGTTAATTCAGGAATTACTCAATAGATGACAGAATCTTTACTATATCGTGACCGCATATCAATACTAAGATGCGCCAAAGGGCGCACAATTCATTTCATGTAATTAGAAATTCATTTCTAGACATCTGTACATTCGAGCCATTATATGGGCGATTGGAATTAAAGACTTTTAGCCTTTTTCTTCTTCTTTCTTTTTGATCAGACAACTTGGTAGGGAGGTTTCAAATCAAACTTCCATTTAAATATGGGATCGCTTTACGTTTCCCATTATCCAGCAAGCTTAATATCGAATTTGCATTTTGGGTTGATGGGAAGGCTTTAACTTGATGGTATTCAATAGCGATGGTATCACAAAAACATTGAACGAGAAGCTCAACCCGATACGAAAGGAATCAGCACAAAAATTCCATGCTATCATTTTTGTCTGTGATATCGTCCAAGAGCTCTTTAACGAGAAAAGTAAACTGGCTCCTGGGCCTTGTACCGTGAAAGTAAAATTGATTGTAATGTCTTCAGAACACTTTCAAGTTAATTTCCGAAAAATGAATACGCATACCATGCAGAAGCCGTATTTATGGTGGTGTCAGATGTTGTGAGGACCTGCTCGAAAAATCGTGTATCTGCAATTGCATAACATTATTTTCTAATAAGAGAAAGAGGGTATTTTAATATTCTAGTTTCCAAACACTTAATACTATTTCAATACATTGTTACGACTTTTTTTTTTTTTTTTTGTCATTTTCTTCTAATGAAAGTCGTGTTGTTGTAACAAGTAAATTATTAACTGAGAAAATGTTATGAATTTTAAG